TGCAGGAGTCCCGGACTCTGGGCAAAAGATAGAGCTGACATGGTGACCCAGCCAAGGCACCAGAATTGGCGGCAAACACACCTCTCTCACTCGGTCAGCCCCTGGCCCCAGCTCTAAACACCTCCATCCAAGTTAACGCTCTGTGACCAGCCCGGCCAAGCAGAGCCCGGTCACTTCTTCAGTCAGGGAGGTGTGACTCAACCTGGCCCCGGGGGAGCCCCCGCTCAGCCCCGGCTTGGGCCTCCAGGGAAGAGGGAGCTGCTAGGCTGGCAGAACGGAACCCTTGAAGCCCCCGGTAAACAGAAACAAAGCAGATGCCAGGGTTAGAGTCTTGCCCACGACCTGGGAGCACCTGGTTCCAGCTATGCCTGAAGGCAGCTTTAGTAACAGAAGGGCTGACACCAGTTGGAGTTGGGTTTCTGATCACTTGCAAACAAGAGATGTGACAGATTTGGGGGCTAGAGGCAGCAAAGTCACTTAGGGCCACGATGGGGGCCCGTGGCCTGGGACGGGCAGGGGACTCACAGCGTTGGCTCTGCATGTAGCGGGTCACCCCCTCCAGGGTGAGCTCATCCAACAGACGCTCCTTCTCAGAGCCCAGGCCCAGGGTCTGGGAGAAGAAATTCCGCAGGAAATCCACTGACCAGACAAAGAGGGAGAGCACGGTGGGGCGGGTGTGCAGTCAGGGCACAGGGCCCCCAGCCCTGCCGCCCTAGCCCCGGGGTCCCTCAGCCTCCCCACAGAGAAAGGAGCTGGCAGCAGCTCCACTGTCCCATACGCCACAAGTCTCCCCTGTCACCCAGCTCCCTGCTCTGAAGTCTGCCACCGAGAAGGGAACCCCCAAAACATACTCACTCTCTGCTCCCCCGCCAGTGGCTCCAGCCTCAGTGTCTGAATCAGAATTGGAGTCCTGCAAGGGGCGGGGGCGGGGTGATTGGATGGAGAAGTGGGGTCAGGGAGGGAGGGGAGAGGGGAGGGTGACACACACCGGGGCTTGGGAGACAGGCTGTGGCGGGGCGGGGATGTCTTGGGGAGGTGATGGGCAGTGGGGGACAGTACTGGGGTGTGTGTGCAGGCCCTGGGCTGGATACCTAGCACTGCTCCTCCCTGGGAGCACGGCCTTCGGGGACTGACCTTTCTGAGCCTGGGGGCTCCTGGGAGGATGACCTGAAATCGGACAGCTCTAAGAATCCCCATGGGCCCTGTGGCTGTGCCTGCGTCTCATGCTACGGCCCGCTTGCCTGCAGCCTGGGCTCTCGACCTGAAAGCCCCAGACCCCCTCGCCTTACGCGCCCTCCGGTGTCTCCCTTGCCTGGCTCCCACAAGGCAGGCCTGTAGGCCCACTCTGCATGCTCTCTCCACCCACCTTGGCTGGCCTCCAGCTAGTCACCAAGGAGGCCACCTCTCTGTCTCCAGATCACAGGGGTATGCGACCTCGAAGACCCTTACTTTGTGCCCCAAACTGGTCTCAGCCTCACCTCGGGGGGCCTCATCAGTCCCTTGGCCAAAGCTCTGGCATCCTAATGGGTACCTCCAGCCCCCTCCCTGCCACAGCCCATGAGCCCCACTTGCCCCTTTCACCCTCCTCCCTGCTTCCCCTCAGCTCCCCCAGGGGTCGGCCCACCCTCCGGGGCCCAGGCACACCTCCTGAGCTCACAGCCTCAGTCTCCACCGCCCCCCTGCCCTCCGTGTGACAGGCTGCCAGGGCCCGGCCACCTCTGGCTACTTCCAAGGCTTTCTCAGGCATTGCATCACGCACGTCTAGGGCCTCCACTGCAGGGACAGCGAGCGAGCACCACCATGACCGCGGCTGCCTCCGCACCCCGTTCACTGCAGAATGTCTGACCCCTACCCCGGGGTCTGGCGCTCGGCTGTGTGACAGCCGGCCATGACCTCCTGCACTGCACGCCCCGCCTCCCAGCAGCCCCCTGCCATCATGCACCCCCTGGTTCTTCCACGGTTAGGAAAGATGGGCCGGAAGCATCTTCTCTCTGCACCCCAAGTCCCTCTTTACAGAAATGATTTTGACCATAAGCTGAAGCTGCACCGCGCGCGCGCGCGCGCGCGTATGTGTGTGTGTGTGTGTGTGTGTTTTCTCTCCCAGAGAATAATATACCACAAACCCACCTCCAGGGAGCCTGGCGGCACTAGCGGGTTATGTGTTTGTGAGGCCAGCAGTTCAAAATCACCAGCTGCGCTGAGGGAGAGAGAGGAGGCTTTCTACTCCCATTAAGAATTACAGTCTTGGAAATCCACAGAGGCAGAACGTTGTCCTATTCTGTCCTAGAGGGTGGCTGCGAGTCAGAACCGAGGGGGAGTAAGGCCCGGCTCCTTCTGGTCAGCGCCTGCATAGTACCCTGCATTGTGTGAGTGGGCCGCACTTCTCTCAACGCCTCCACACACAGCCCTCTGGGCTGCCTCCAGTGTTTGCTCCACCGCAGACAATGCTGCGATTTACACCCGCTCTCTCTCCCTGGGACGGAGCATCTCTTTTTAATATTAAACCTTTTTCTCTGGAGCCCACGTGCCACCACTCAGGCTTCAGGAGCCCAGGGGAGTGTGAAACCCAGGCCTGAGAGGCAACTCTGAGCCCCTCAGTGCCACTCTGCCGGGCCTCTGTAAGGGACTGTAATCCCAGTATCTACGCTGACCTACATCTGCCAAGCCAGCTCCCTCTGGGGGTGGGTTGGAGACAAAGAGGCTCTATGAAAAGACTCCAGGGCCCTGCCCAGCCTGCAGGGCAGCTCTGCCCAGTGGGGAGGTGGAGGTGCTGGCTGGGCCTTCTAGCGTCTAGGAGGTGACCCTAACCCCCGTCCCCCACCACCTCAGGGTCTAGAAGGCAGTATTTGGAGGGTCTTGAGTTTCAAACTCTTAAGATGACGAGCTGTTTATCGCCTCTGCCTTCGATTCCTCGTCTGTACAATGGGTGCACCCCTCCCAGAGCTGATGGGAAGACAAAAGTATACGAAACACACAGCAGAGGCCCCGGCCCCGGTAAGCCCTCAATAAATGGTAGCCATGACTATGATGATCCTTTCCTTCCCACCAACGGAGCTCTGGCAGCATAAGTGGGATGCACTCAGCCGCTAATTGGAAGATGGGAGGTTTGCACCCACCCCAGACGGACGCTCCCTGGAAGAGAGGCCTGGTGACCTGCTCATGTCAGGATGACAGCCTAGTCCGCCTCTGCCACACACACTCGGAACCAGCTCCTGGTGCCTAACACCAGCCACCATCCCCAGCTGCCAGGCTAGCAAACACGCCACAGTCCTGTCTGCCGCCAGCTCTCTGCAACAGCTTCGACACACCGTTTGTCTCCTTGAGTTCGGAACATTCAAAGTCACGACGCTTCCCTGACTACACTCTGCGGCCTTGGCTCAAACGGAAGGAGGCCTGGTGGCAAGGCGGTTAAGCACATGGTCTGGTGGTTCAAATCCACCAGCTGCCCTGCTGGGGAACGATGAGGTTGGCGGTAGAGATTTACGGTCACCAAGACCCTACCGAGCAGTTCAGCTCTGTCCTATTGGGCCCCGAAGGGTCAGGATGGGCTCCTGGGCAGCGAGGAGGCAAAGAGAAAACGCTGGGGGGTTCCCCTAGTGCCCTGAGGTCCCACAGTAATTCCACATAGGGTCCCGTTCTCGGGTCTCCTCTATCAGGGCTGAATTCAAGGACCGGAGGTCTGTCTCTCCCAGACCCAGCACACCGGAGGCCCAGAAGGTGAGGGAAGGAAGCCTTGGAGTGCAGGACTGGGATGAAGGCAACACACCTTCCCTGGTGGTCCCCAGAATCTACCAGTCCCCAGAAGGCTGCACCCTGGGCTAGGAAGAAGGATGGGGGCAGGGAGCTGCGCCTCTGGAAGGCCCCACTCCTCTCCGCTGCCTCCCCCAGTACAGGCTGTAGGGGCAAATCCGTGACTCTCCTTCCCGCCAGTCCACCCTTTCCCCCGTCTCACCTGAGCCTCCTGCACCTTCCCTGCCTGGGTCTCCAGAGGGTCAGAGGCTGGGGGAGGAGGGGGAGCAGACATGGTTACAGCAGGGGGGCAGATTAACGGGATCAAAGAGGATGTGGGGGACTAAGAAGACCCACCAACCTAGTTACACTGGGCTGCAGAGTACAGGAGGGGCTGGGGAGGGGGGAACACATGTCTTATTAGAGTGTCTAGTGAGGGGCAGTGAGGCAAGAGCGAGGAAGGGTTAGGAGGAAAAAGCAACGAAAGGAAGGGATACAGGGTGCAGAAGAAGATTAAAGAGTTAGAAAGGACGCAGTACGGTGTGCGTTGAGGGGGTGGGAAGGCGGGTTCGATTTACCGGGTGGTGAAACTTTAGGGAGGGAGTTAGAAAGGAAATTCCTGGCTGAGAGGTGGGTTTGGGAGAAGAGGTGCAGCGCGGGTGGTAGATTTTGGAAAGGCACAGGAACTAGAGGGAAGAGATAGGAGGGCACACCGAGGACCCCCCCCCCCCCTAGCATTCTACAGTTGCTCCTAACAACCAGGTACCCTTAGCAACCGGGATGGCAGTAACAAGGGTCCTTAGCAAACAGGATCGGAAAAGCATGCGATCATCAGAAACTTTTGGTTAAGTGGCCCTTAAAACTTTTGGTTTTACGACTCGGAAACCCACCGATCTAGCAACAAGGTTCATTTAGCATCAGCCCTTTGCATCCCATTCCCCCATGCAGCCCTCAGTCTCCCGCCCCGCCCCGCCCGCTCTCGGGCCCCAGGGCCTGGATCGGACAACCAGGCCCCGGCGCGGCCCGACCCTCCCACCGGTGCCCTCGACTCACGGTCCGGCTCGGCCATGGGAGCGGGGCCGGGGCCCTCGGGGCTGTCACCGACTGCACTGTCCCGTGACGGCACCGGAAGGGGCGGGCCTAGGGGGTAGGAAGCGGCCGAGAACTACAACTCCCAGAAGACAGCAGACAAGGAATTCAAAGACGTGAGCGCGTCGCTCCGGTAAGGAAGGCTCGCGAGGGTTGGACTACGAGTCCCAGAATGCCGCGCTCCGGTAGCCATCTTGGTAAAGGGCTCCCGGAAAATGTGGGACTGGGTCAAGCGCTGTAGTTCGTTCGGACATTCTGATTGGTTCTAGAGCGACAAGGGGCGGGGCATAAGCGATTTCGCTCATTTTTATTGGCCATAATAAGGGGGCGTGGGGGGGAATTCCCCGCAGGGCGGAAGCGCCGGGAATCCCGGCAGAGCCCAGCACCAGGCTGGCTGGCGGGCGGCCTCTGGGGGCCCCGGAGGCAGTGGGGTCCATGGCCGGGGTTGCGTGCTTGGGGAAAGCCACAGATGCCGACGAGTGGTGCGACAGCGGCTTGGGCTCGCTGGGTCCGGACGCGGCGGCCCCCGGAGGACCGGGGCTGGGCACAGAGCTGGGCCCGGGGCTGTCCTGGGTGCCCCTCGTCTTCGGCTACGTCACGGAGGATGGGGACACGTGAGTGAATCTTAAAAGCCTCTCCAGCCGGTCCCAAGCATAAGATAGGCTTTACCTGATGCTTTAAGGGCATGCTCCGGCTTCCTAGCCTTCACCCCAGAATCTGACTTCGAGCCTGGAGTTCCTGACCCCCGACCCACCAAGTCCTAATCTTTGGTAAATCAACCCCATTTCCAACTTTGATCCTAACCCAATAGATTCTCTTTTAGGTTTATTTTAACCCATTAATGTCTGCCTCTCCTTTCTTGATCTCTTGATTCTCAGTTTCTGGAATCTCAAGCCCCACTGACCCCAAAACCTAATGAAACATCCTTTGGTCCCAAGACCTTTCTTAGAAATCTCACTTGGCTCCTCCTGACCTCTAACCTCCACCCATGGTCTTTGAGCCTCCATGATGTATGAGTCTAGATTTTGATCTCTGCATTTATACTTGGCCCTAACCCTTCGGGCCCTGCCTTCTGATCACTAATGTTCAGATCTTCTATTCGAAGAGAGTATGACAAATCTTTATTGAACATTGGCCAGGAGCAGCCCTGGTCACCAGGCAGGGCTGGGACTGCGGAGCACCAGGTCCAACCCGTTCGCTTCTCCCCGGGAACAAGATGAAGCTGTCCGCTCCCCTAAAGGGTTACAGCTTCGGAAACCTCACTCTGAGGCCCAAGCAACTCAGTGGCAGTTGTTGTAGTTCGATGCCATCGAGTTGTTTCTGGCTCACTGCCCCGCCCTGCACCAGTCTCATCATTGTTCATCCTTTGAGCCCCTTGTTTCAGCCACTTTGTCAGCCCCCTTTGTCCTCTTGTTTGCCGCTCTTCTCCTGCACCCAGCACAATCACCTTTTCTAGAGACTAATCTCTCCTGGCAACATGTCCAAAGCCGGTGAGATGAAGTCTCGCCATCCTTTCCCCTCAGGAGCATTCTGGCTGTACGTCTTCTAAGACGGCTCCCAAGATTTGTCTGTACCTTTGGCAGCACCGTGCTCTCAGTATCCTTCACCGGCACCATAATTCACACACATAGATTTTTTTCCTTCGGTCTTCCTTATTCAGTGTCAGTGGGTGGGACCCTATGCCTGGCTCTGTTTTAGTTGCTGATATTAATGCTTGTATGGGATGAGCTAAAGCAGGCCAGGGCGCCGCTTCCCTGCACGTCCCCGGAGGTCAGCAACTGCCCCCCTGAAATGAGGAGGTCAGCAACTGCCCCCCTGAAATGAGGAGACTGGAAAACGATGCCTGGGATGCCTGACTCCCGATAACCAGACACCCTCCCTGCCAAAACTGATAAACTGCATCCGAGGCCATAAACCTCACTGCTGACCTCCTGGGCCATAAACCGTAAACCTCACTGCTGACCTCCTGGGCCATAAACCGTGCTGCTGCAGCATGGACCTCCCCTGCCCCCGCTTTCCTTTAAAAACCCCAGCCCTCGAACAGGACCGGGCGATTCCCCTAGGCTACTTGCTAGACCATGGGGCTTCGCCTGGGAGCTCCCCCCTAATAAAGCCATTTCTGTTTCTGCTCTCCCTCGGTCCTGTCAGTTCTCTTTGTCCGGCTTCCTGTGCCTCAGTACCTCCCACTTGTCCTGTGCCTCAATTCATCTTTACAATGCTCTTTTTTTAAATCATTTTATTGGGGGCTCATACAACTCATCACAATCCATACATACATCAATTATATAAAGCACACCTGCACATTCGTTACCCTCATCATTCTCAAAACACTTGCTCTCCACGTAAGCCCCTGGCATCAGCTCCTCACTTTTTCC